AACACCCCTAAGCAAGGGGCACCACCAAGCAAGTGGCACCATGAAGACCAAGGAGCTCTCCAAACAGGTCAGGAGCTGCAAAGCTCCACAGCGGAGATTGGAATATCTGTCCATAGGACCACTTTAAGCCGTACACTCCACAGAGCTGGGCTATACGGAAGAGTGGCCATGAAAAAAGCCATTGCTTAAAGAAAAAATAAGCAAACACGTTTGGAGTTCACCAAAAGCCATATGGGAGACTCCCCAAACATATGGAAGAAGGTACTCTGGTCAGATGAGTGTAAAATTGAGCTTTTTGGCCATCAAGGAAAACGCTATGTCTGGCGCAAACCCAACACCTCTCATCACCCCGAGAACACCATCGGCAGGGACTGGGAAACTGGTCAGAATTGAAAGAATGATGGATGGCTTGAAATACAGGGAAATTCTTGAGGGAAACCTGTTTCAGTCTTCCAGAGATTTGAGACTGGGACGGAGGTTCACCTTCCAGCAGGACAATGACCCTAAGCATACTGCTAAAGCAACACTTGAGTGGTTTAAGGGGAAACATTTAAATGTATTGGAATGGCCTAGTCAAAGCCCAGACCTCAATCCAATTGAGAATCTATGGTATGACTTAAAGATTGCTGTACACCTGCAGAACCCATCCAACTTGAAGGAGCTGGAGCAGTTTTACCTTGAAGAATGGGCAAAAATCCCAGTGGCTAGATGTGCCAAGCTTATAGAGACATACCCCAAGAGACTTGCAGCTGTAATTGCTGCAAAAGGTGGCTCTACAAAGTATTGACTTTGGGGGGGTGAATAGTTATGCACGCTCAAGTTTTCAGTTTTTTTGTCTTATTTCTTGTTTGTTTCACAATAAAACATATTTTCCTTCTTCAAAGTGGTAAGCATGTTGTGTAAATCAAATGATACAAACCCCCCAAAATCTATTTTAATTCCAGGTTGTACGGCAACAAAATAGGAAAAATGCCAAGGGGGGTGAATACTTTCGCAAGCCACTGTAGGCATTTAGACCCTTTGCTATGAGACTTGAAATTGAGCTCAGGTGCATCGTGTTTCCATTGGTCATCCTTGAGATGTTTCTACAGCTTGATTGGAGTCCACCTGTGGTAAATTCAATTGATTTTACATGATTTGGAAAGGCACACACCTGTCTTTATAAGGTCCCACAGTTGACAGTGCATGTCAGAGCAAAAACCAAGCCATGAGGTCGAAAGAATTGTCCGTAGAGCTCCGAGGCAGGATTGTGTCGAGGCACAGATCTGGGGAAGGGTACCAAAAACTGTCTGCAGCATTGAAGGTCCCCAAGAACACAGTGGCCTCCATCATTCTTACATGGAAGAAGTTTGGAACCACCAAGACTCTTCCTAGAGCTGGCGACCAGGCCAACTGAGCAATCGGGGGAGAAGGGTCTTGGTCAGGGAGGTGACCAAGAACCCAATGGTTACTCTGACAGAGCTGTAGAGTTCCTCTGTGGAGATGGGAGAACCTTCCAGAAGGACAACCATCTCTGCAGCATTCCACCAATCAGGCCTTTATGGTAGAGTGACCAGACAGAAGCCACTCCTCAGTAAAAGGCACATGACAGCCCGCTTGGAGTTTGCCAAAAGGTACCTAAAGACTCTCAGACCATGAGAAACATGATTGATGAAACCAAGATTGAACTCTTTGGCCTGAATGCCAAGCGTCACATCTGGAGGAAACCTGGCACCATCCCTACGGTGAAGCATGGTGGTGGCAGCATCATGCTGTGGGGATGTTTTTCAGCAGCAGGGACTGGGAGAGTAGTCAGGATCGAGGCAAAGATGAACGGAGCAAAGTACAGAAAGATCCTTGATGAAAACCTGCTCCAGAGCGCTCAGGACCTCAGACTGGGGTGAAGGTTCACCTTCCAACAGGACCATGACCCTAAGCACACAGCCAAGTCAATGCAGGAGTGGCTTCGGGACAAGTCTCTGAATGTCAATGAGTGGTCCAGCCAGAGCCCAGACTTGAACCCGATCCAACATCTCTGGAGAGACCTGAAAATAGCTGTGCAGAGAAGAATGGGAGAAACTCTAAAGACTCCTTCTGCTGTGACTTTCAGAAATACTCTATAATATCATTACCGCAGCGACGCTCAGAGATATTCAATAACACCGATTTCCTAGACTCCTGTTCGAGATACAATAACATTGTTTCTACAGTGACTCTTACAGATAATACACTCTACAGTAGTGTCGTTCATAAACACATATGTATACTTGAGTTACTAAGCTCTTGGTGATATTCAATAAGGGAGCACTTCAGGCCAACACAAATGGCCTCAAAGTTCTCACCTTGAAAAAAATTGTTTTCGCAAGTAGTCTTGATTCCCAAAATTCCCTGCTGTCTCCTGTCCTCCATGCTTGATTTAAGGCACATCTGGACAGTTATTTTCACATCTGCTAGTGCCTAAATGAATCAAAACACAGAAGGCCAGAGCAGCGTAGAGTCAGTTACAGTAGGAGCACATACATCCTTCATCACTTTCAGAGCAGAGGTCAAACAGAAACTCACAAGCACGCGTGCACAGAAACACACACACTTCATATTGTGTTAGAGCAGATGAGCACCCCGGTAGAACTCAGTAGTCTGTTAGTACTGCTGTTAAAATAGGCAGAGTGCTTACTTAAAGGAGAAGTTCACTTTATTTGAACCAAATTTCTATTTTCGATGTAAATGGCATGTTATAAAGTGCCCAGACACTTTTTTTGTGATCTCACTTGTTTTTGAGAAACGTACCCCATCAGCGATATACTTCTTCATGCTTGTTCAGCAGTTGAAGGGGCACAGAAAAACATGAACAACGGCTCCAAAAACACCCAAATACGTAATTTTAGAAATGGCAATGCTCTCAGTATAGTGATGCAGGTCTTTATTAAATGTTGTACACATTAAATTGTGTAATTCTAACTTTATCTGCAACGTTATATTCCATTTTGTGAGGGAAAAGTATTGTGAGCTACACGGAGCAGTATCGCTCTAGATGCATAAAACTGAATATACATTTTATATTTACATAGAAAATAGAGATTTGGTTCAAATAAAGTGAACTTCTCGTTTAACCTCACTATCTCTCTCCTGTAAGATCTTCCAATGACTGTATATGAGATCACCACAGTGATCTGGGGAAAGGGGGGTCGAGGTAGGATGGAGAAGAGGTGGGGAGGGGATTCTTGTGCTGCTGCCAGCATTGAAGAATGTCCACAGAAGAGCAAAGGCCAGCACTTTTCAGAGAGCTGCTGTAGTGTAGAGTGGTGATCTCTCCCTCCTCCCTCCCTCCCCCATCAGCTCCAAATCATGGGCCTCCCATGGGGAGCGCCTCCTCTCCCCTCCTCACATACAGAGCAGGACGACCAGTCTGAGCTCAGCTCCCATGCTAATTATCCATATGTTCATCTGCAGCAGCAGTTCATCTTTGTCATTGCCACATGCTGCTGTGCTGTGCTGAACTAAACCCTGCTACCTCCACCATCCCTACACGGTACACATGCCTTTCCATGGGCCACTAGCTGGTTGACATAATTTACTTAGCCATTTTTTTCTAAACCCCTTCCCTCCAATCTCTAAAACCATCCCCCAACACCAGAGGAGGCTGGTGGGAGGAGCTATAGGAGGACGGACTCATTGAAATGGCTGAATTGGAATAAAGGGAACGTATCAAACATGGAAACCACATGTTTGACTCAATTCCATTAATTCCATTCCAGCCATTACAATGAGCCCGTCCTCCAATAGCTCCTCCCACCAGCCTCCTCTGCCCCATACATGCACATTCACCTTCCAAATCAATACATGGCTGCATAAATTAGGTGCAGGCTAATCTTATTTCCTAATTGCCCCTGACAGCAGGTTGCTGCCATCCATCAGCCCTGTGCTACTGCTAGTAGTACTACTAGCACGGGCAGCAGAGAGAGCAGCACAGAAGGACCTGCATGCCAGGCTATGGAAGGGGTTGTTGCTCTTTCTTTTTCAGACTGACATAATGTCCATCAGACCATGTCATTTTTCTCTCTATCACTTCTTTCTCCTCTGTTGGATGGTGATACTGGAGGTGAGAATTCGTTAAGGTGTTATGATTTGAGTGCCTCTCTCATTCATACATACACACACACACACACACACACACACACACACCTTCATCACCTTCAAACAACCCTCTGCATTCTCTGACACTCAGGTATTCCTGCAGTTTCTTTGAACACATTTTCACACAAAATTAACCATGAAATACCATAATCATGTCATGTAGCATCTTTCTTTGCTGAATTTCCTTATTTTCCTTTTGGGGTTTTTCTGAAATATATTTTCTGTGAAATGGAAATGGAATATCTCATACCGTTATTGCATTCAACAAATTAGTTGCAATTAGTAATGAATCATGAGAAAAAATAGAGCGTCGTTTGTCCCTGAACTTTTGTTGTCGACGATCATTTTGCTTACGGTTTTCGTGTACACCTCTGGCGCCACCCTGTGGATGTGGATACGATATCCTAATAAAATCCATCTGACTTCTAGTTCTTTTCTTTTACTCCAGGTGATCTTTGTTCATTCGGTGATACTAACAGTTAATGCAATCAAATTAATTGATGGTGGTTTCAAGGATCAAGACCATTTGGACTATTATGCTCTTCAAAAGACAGACAGACATATGCAATATAAAGCAGGCTTTCAGAGCAAACCCAGCAATTGTCTGTAAAGGAATGTATTGACTGAGATGAATGAAGCCAAAATGAAATGAATAATGTATTATCTGACTATCTCACTGTAAATATGAAAATGGCAGTACCGAAGATACTGGTAATCAGAGACATGTACAGTAGTATTTAGAGCGCTGCTGGTAACTAACCAGGTTTCCCCTTTAGTCTGTGGCAGTACTGTAATAAAGGACCAATCAGATATGCCATTACACGCATGCGCGCAGGACCTACTTTCACTGTATTTTGATCCTTCTAACATTAGACTGGAGAGGTTGGGAATTCCCCAGGACAACTCTTTAGCAAGACGCCTTGACTTGTAAACAACTTAACACGGTAACATTTATTTTACTCCTTAAATAACCTTTTAAAATATGAACTTTGATGATATCAGTTAGAGCTTAGTTGCAGCGCCATGCCTGGTCCTAGCACTTTAACTTGCTAGCTAGCCAACTGCTAGTGCAGACAGTTGCCAGCTTGACAGCACAGCTAGCCTGCTACTTTGCTTTAGCAAACGGTCTATCAGGTTAGCTACTAAAAGTAAATATACATCAATTCTAACCAGCTGTTATTGCTATTATTGCAAAGGAGTCTATACAAATTGCATAGCTAGCTAGCAACAGTATTCGTAATGGCTGGTATTCAGCCCAGGTGCGATTCTGGAAAGGCGACTACACGGCCTGAACTTCGCTTCGGGCTTGACAAACACGAAGCTCTGGGTACTTCTTCACCGGAGGATTGGTGCGACAGTGGGCTAGAATGTCTTAGTGGAGCAGCGCTGAGTCTGGATGACCCCTTCAGCAATGAGACATCCCAAACCTGGGGGCCCAGGGCCCCTCCTTACACGACCTCCTACCCATCACTGGATGAGACTGACAAGCGCCCCATGGACTGTAGTTCACCGGGAGGTGAAGAGAGGTTGGACTCCGCTATAGGGGACTCAATTACAGATGAGACGATGGGGAGTATATCACAGGGGCTGGGGACCATGCACCTGAATGAACCAGTTATCAGTGATACAGTGGATGACAGTGGGAGGCAAGCAGCACCAAGCCCGGAGGAGGAAAGACGGAGAGAGATGTTCAACACACTGAACTTTGTGTCTGAGGATGGAGACACGTGAGCAGCATCTCCTTACTATTCACATGATGAACAGCAGTTTGTTGGCTATTTGTACTTGTTATCTCAAACATCTCCTATGCTCATAGGGCTCTTCACTTGGCTCTTATCCACGAGCACTGGGCCTTCGTACAGTACCTTCTGGGGGTGATAGCACTGGACCGGAGCTGGGTGCCTTACCTGGACATCCAGAACCATTTGGGACAGGTAAGCTCAGGGACACACAGCTGCATTAGTAACACTGGAGTATTTACGGGGGAATTTGCGATAAAATATCTAAAGGAACGTATTATTAAAGTCTTTCCAAATGTAGGTCTGTTGTAGACCGACTTCCTCTCTGCTAACCGTCATGTAAAAATAAAAGTCCTGCAAGTGTGCCTTATGTGGACAAAAAAGGAATAACTTGTGGGGGACTTTTATTTTGACATGAGGTAAGCAGAGAGGAAGTGGGTCTACAACAGACCCACGTTTGGGAAGTCTGTTTAGTAATATATTCCTTTAGATATTTTGTAACAAATTCCCCCCCTTTTAATGACCAACCGTCCTGCCCACCGGCACAGTAAGTTGAAATGGAATTGTATTTAACTTCTGGCTTCCCACAGACTGTTATTGCGCAACCCAATACAATAGGGAGCAACGCTGTAGGTTAAATCCATTTGAATTCAATCACTTGACAACACCCCTTTTGATTTGAACGAAACCTTCCATATATATTTTCCCATTGTAGAAATGCTCAGAACAGTGACTTTTTGGACCTGAATGCCAATACATTCAAGAGATAAAGGTGGTTGAAGTTGACCTATTTTGCATACCCCCACCATACAATGAGACATCCATGTCTTCATCACTGTAATGGATAAACGGTTGAGATTCATATCATTTAAAAGATTACAAACCGGGTTGTCAAACTGTTTTTATAATTTCTTTAAAATACACACGCACACACACACACACACATACACAGTGCATTCGGAAAGGATTCAGACCCCTTCACTTTTTCCAAATTTTGTTACATTACAGCCTTATTCTAAAATTGATTAAATCATTTTTTCCCCTTATCAATCTACACACTCCATAATGACAAGCAAAAAACAGGTTTTTAGAAATGTTTGCAGATTTATAAAAAATAAACGGAATTATCACATTTACATAAGTATTCAGACCCTTTACTCAGTACTTTGTTGAAGCACCTTTGGCAGCGATTACAGCTTTGAGTCTTCTTGGGTATGACACTACAAGCTTGGCACACCTGTATTTGGGGAGTTTTTCCCATTCTTCTCTGCAGATCCTCTCAAGCTCTGTCAGGTTGGATGGGGAGCATCGCTGCACATCTATTTTCAGGTCTCTCCAGAGATGTTCGATCAGGTTCAAGTCTGGGCTCTGGCTAGGCCACTCAAGGACATTCTGAGACTCGTCCCAAAGCCACTTCTGCGTTGTCTTGGCTGTGTGCTTAGGGTCGTTGTCCTGTTGTAAGGTGAACCTTCACCCAAGTCTGAGGTCCTGAGAGCTCTGGAGCAGGTTTTCATTAAGGATCTCTCTGTACTTTGCTCCGTTCATCTTTCCCTCGATCCTGACTAGTCTACCAGTCCCTGCCGCTGAAAAACATCCCAACAGCATGATGCTGCCACCACCATGCTTCACCGTAGGGATGGTGCCAGGTTTCCTCCAGACGTGACGCTTGGCATTCAGGCCAAAGAGTTCAATCTTGGTTTCATCAGACCAGAGAATCTTGTTTCTCATGGTCTGAGAGTCCTTTAGGAAAAAATTCAAAAAAACTGTTTTTGCTTTGTTATTATGGAGTATTGTGTGTAGATTGCTGGGGGAAATGTTTTATTTAATCCATTTTAGAATAACGTAACAAAATGTGGAAAAAGTAAAAGGGTCTGAATAATTTCAGAAGGCACTCTATATTTTTGTTCAGCACATTATTGCACCCACCCTGTATTCAAGAGTATGCTGTGTCTCAACCGATGGCTGGCACAACACAAAAACCTCAGATGATGTAAAGCAGGGTCTAAGTAAGCTAGAACATATGCAAATATGGAAAGAAATCGGGAGTTGACATTTTTCTTTTACAATTGCCGTTAAAGGTTACATTTTTATTACAAAACATTTGACAACCCTGTTTGTAAGCATTTAGATGATATCAATCTCAACTATTTATATTTTCCAGTGATGAAGATATGCATGTTTCATGGTATGGTGGGGTACGCAAAATGGGTCAACTTTGAGCACCTCTATCTCCTGAATGTTTTGGCATTCAGGTCCAAAAAGTAACTTTCTGACCATTTCTTCCGTGGGCAAACACATATGGAAAGTTTGGTTTAAATCAAAAGGGATGCTGTGAAAAAGTGATTTAATAAATACACCAGCATTGCTAATAGCTAAGTGTTACACTGCTCTACTGAACCGAGATCCGCCACGCCAGCATATGGGGATTTCACAATGGGGGATTTATTACTGCTAAATAGCTAACAAAATGGCTACATGGACTATCTGCATTGAACCTCACACTGACACTCCAACACACACACTCCACCCATTCATACTTACTCTACATACACGCATACAATCATCATACGCTGCTGCTACTCTGTTGATCTTATATCCTAACGCCAAGTCACCTTACCCCTATACCAGTGGAGGCTGCTGAGAGGAGGATGGCTCATAATAATGGCTGGAACGGAGCGAATGGAATGGCTTCAAACACATGGAAACCATGTGTTTTGATGTATTTGAAACCATTCCACTAATTCCTCTCCAGCCATTACCATGAGCCCGTCCTCCCCAATTAAGGTGCCACCAACCTCTTGTGCCCTATACATATCTAGCCCTACCATGTCAGTATTCCTGCACATTGTAAATATGGTATTGGTACTGACCCTGGAACTGACCCTGTATATACAAAAGTATGTGGACACCCCTTCAAATTAGTGGATTTGGCTATTTCAACCACACCCATTGCTTACATGTGTATGAAATAGAGAACATAGCCATGCAATCTCCATAGACAAACATTGGCAGTAGAATGGCCTTACTGAAGCGCTCAGTGAGTTTCAACGTGGCACCGTCATAGGATGCCACCTTTCCAACAAGTCAATTCGTAAAATGTCTGCCCTGCTAGAACTGCCCCGGTCAACTGTAAGTGCTGTTATTGTGAAGTGGAAATGTCTAGGAGCAACAACGGCTCAGCCACGAAGTGGTAGGCCACACGAGCTCACAGAACAGGACTCCCGAGTGCTGTAGCACGTAAAAATTGTCTGTCCTTGGTTGCAACACTCACTACCGAGTTCCGAACTGCCTCTGGAAGCAACGTCAGCACAAGAACTGTTCGTCGGGAGCTTCATGAAATGGGTTTCCATGGCCGAGCAGCCACACACAAGCCTAAGATCACCATGCGCAATGCCAAGCGTCGGCTGGAGTGGTGTAAATCTTGCCGCCATTGGACTCTGGAGCAGTGGAAACGCATTCTCTGGACTGATGAGTCACGCTTCACCATCTGGCAGTCCGACGGACGACTCTGGGTTTGGCGGATGCCAGGAGAACGCTACCTGTCCAAATGCATAGTGCCAACTGTAAAGTTTGGTGGAGGAGGAATAATGGTCTGGGGCTGTTATTCATAGTTCGGTCTAGGCCCCTTAGTTCCAGTGAAGGGAAATCTTAACGCTACAGCATACAGTGGCATTCTAGAAGATTCTGTGCTTCCAACTTTGTGGCAACAGTTTGGGGAAGGCCCTTTCCTGTTTCAGCATGACAATGCCCCCGTGCACAAAGCGAGGTCCGTACAGAAATGGTTTGTCGAGATTGGTGTGGAAGAACTTTGACTGGCCTGCACAGAGTCCTGACCTCAACCCCATCGAACACCTTTGGGATGAATTGAAACGCTGACTGCGAGCCAGGCCTAATCGCCCAACATCAGTGTCCACAGCAATGTTCCAACATCTAGTGGAAAGCCTTCCCAGAAGAGTGGAGGTTGTTTTAGCTGCAAAGGGGGACCAACTCCATATTAATGCCCATGATTTTGGAATGAGATGTTCGACGAGCAGGTGTCCACATACTTTTGGTCAAGTAGTGTAGCTTACTTACTTTCTCGTGTTTTTATTTCTATTTCTGGTGTATTTTTTGTTCTACTTTATTTTATAGTATATCTTTTACTACTGATATTGATTACTGCATTGTTGGGAAAGCGCTTACACATGGGACAATAAAACTAACATGCAATTAACACATGTCCACTTCCATTTTCTTGGTCTCCTTACCCTTCTCTTGTCCCTCTCACGTCTCCTCCTTTGGTTACTATTCGTCCACTTATTTTCTTCTCCCTCCTTACTTCCTCTCTGTCTGTCAGACTGCCCTTCACCTGGCTGTCATAGTGGACCAGGCCCAGTTTGTGCGAGGGCTGCTGTGGGGTGCTGCGAGCGCTGAAGTCCAGGAGAGGGGAGGGAACACACCACTGCACCTGGCCGTCAGGGAGCTGAGGCAGGACTGTGTACGAGAGATCACCTCCAACTGCCAGAGCACTGACTACCTGCATGTCACCAACTACTCAGGTACACGGATCACCCAGAGGACATGGAGCCAGTTATTGTACCGTTAGAAACTCTGCATACTGTAACTATCATCCCTGCTTACCTTTGTTTCTCTATTTGTAATGTCTCCCTCCCGCTCTCTCTCTTTCTCGCTCTCTCTTTCAGGGGTGAGTGCACTGCATTTGGCAGTACAGAGGGGCAAGGAGGACATAATCAGCATGCTGATTGAGGCAGGAGCCAATGTTAACCAGAGGGTGAGTAGTCCACATGAGTTACTGTATCAGACTGCTGTAGACAGGGTGGGTCCTCTAAGCCCGCTAGGTTCCAACATGCCTCAGTACTTCATCCATCAAACTCATTATTAAAGGTCCCCTTACTTAATGAGCAAGGTTATGATGATGCCTCTCTCCCCTCCTGCCCCTCCAGGACCTGGGCTCAGGCCGCTCCCCTCTACACTGGGCCGTGGAGTCCCAGAGCCCCAGGCTGGTGCAGCTACTGCTGCAGGGGGGGGCCAATGTAGACCAGCCCTCCTATGCAGGCCACACAGCCCTCTACTGCGCCCTGCACAGGCCCAACAAGGAGGTACAGGCCCTGCTCAAGGCTAGAGGGGCCTCTGACACACAGGCCCAGGATGAAGAGGAGGAGAGGGAGAGCGAAGATGTGAGGGTGGTCTGGGGGAGTTACAGTTAGCATTGTACATGTTTGAGCTTCCTTTTTTTGTCTGTCATAAACTTGTTGACATTTCATGGCTGTAAGTGTTATTATGACGATTAACTCTGCTGTTCTCTCTGTTTTCCTCCTGTAGGAGGAGTTTGATGACGTTGTTATCAATGGACAACGAGTGCACTAACCATGAACAAGGACACTAAGCCACATGGAGCCATGGCGCTGCTGCTTGGCTAAGCTATAGATGTAGATTGTGCATTTGTGTGTGTGGTTTGTGTATGTATGTGTGCCTGTAAATTGTATAAAGCAAGGCTGCTGGGGAACTCCAGTTCTCAACCCAGTCAGGAACTAAGTCGTTCGATTTAGCTGATCACAGTTGTTCCTTCTTCAAATGAGTTCCCTTAAATTGTGCAGCGTGCGAGCTAATATTAGTTGGATCACATGGTTTTAGTGTCTGGAGCTAAGCTTACCAAGACTAGTGTTGCCTACCCTAAGCATGGGAGAATGATCCAACCATGGACTCCGCTGTGTGCTGTCAAACTCGAATCATGGCCCCACCCACTAGTGGCCACATCTCTTGTACAAATCAAATTTTATTTGCCACATGCGCCGAATACAACAGGTGTAGACATTACAGTGAAATGCTTACTTACAAGCCCTTAACCAACAATGCAGTTTTTAAGAAAAAAATCCAAAAATCAAATAATTAAAAAGCAGCAGTAAAATAAAATAACAGTAGTGAGGTTATATACACGGGGTACCGGTACAGAGTCAATGTGCGAGGGCACCGGTTAGTCGAGGTAATTGAGATAATATGTACATGTGGGTAGAGGTAAAGTGACTATGCATAAATAATAAACAGAGTAGCAGCAGCGTAAAAGAGGAGGGTGGGGGTGGGGGTGGGGTGGGGCAATGCAAATAGTCCGGGTAGCCATGATTAGCTGTTCAGGAGTCTTATGGCTTGGGGGTAGAAGCTGTTAAGAAGCCTTTTGGACCTAGACTTGGCGCTCCGGTACCGCTTGCCGTGCGGTAGCAGAGAGAACAGTCTATGACTAGGGTGGCTGGAGTCTTTGATAATTTTTAGGGCCTTCCTTTGACACCACCTGGTATAGAGGTCCTGGATGGCAGGAAGCTTGGCCCCAGTGATGTACTGGGTCGTATGCACTATCCTCTGTAGTGCCTTGCGGTCGGAGGCCGAGCAGTTGCCAAACCAGGCGGTGATGCAACCAGTCAGGATGCTCTCTGGTGCAGCTGTAGAACATTTTGAGGATCTAAGGACCCATGCCAAATCTTTTCAGTCTCCTGTGGGGGAATAGGCTTTGTCGTGCCCTCTTCACGACTGTCTTGGTGTGTTTGGACTTGGACCACCCCACCGTTAGCTCACATTTAACTCCACTGCTGATGGGCTGCTGATACCCCTCTTCAGGGTAATCTAGAGTGCAAAGTCAGAAAAGGTTTTGATGTCTAAATACCCAGTAACACATTGATACTGCAGTATGCTGTAAAACAGTCCCGTTGGATTGGATTTGTTTATTTAAAATATATATATATATATATATATATATATATATATATATATATCAATAAGCTAAAGAGTTGCAGCTCAATTAAGTTCTCAAATGACCCATACTGTATGTTTTAAGTTCAAGCTATTGCTAAGGGGCAGATATAGCTGGTATTTGGGGACTCTTTTGTTTAGCTTTACCTTCTGTATGTTTAAATAGCCTATCACTTTATCATCATGATTTTCTTGCCTCTGATGCTGATCTTTAGCTGCATGTATTTTTTTCTTTTATTTATTTTTCTCATAATGCTAATCTGTAAAATTAGGCTATAGATAAGAGATGTGGGTTTGGGATTAAAGCAGTTGGATTATCTGAGATGTTTGCATTATTAACAGGTCAGGGTTGGGGGAAGATGTGAATGTACATAAGGTAGGGGTTTATGCATGCCAAGGTAAGTAGTTAACAAGGGATGGAAAGAGAAAGGAGAGGGGCAAACTCAACACATTGGTACTAAATCATTTTAGCTTCCAGTTGAAAGAAATGATAAATTAACGTATTCGAGAACCTCTGCAAGTCTACATGAATTGAGATTTATTGACCATGGGTGATGTGATCCAACTATTTCAGTAATGGATCAATCCCTGAATAGGAGTGCTCTAACCAGGGCCTGGAATACCCTGGAGTGATGTCGTCATTCAGTCCATTTGATGTACAGTTCACCAATTAAAGACAGAACTACAAGAAGCAAACACAGGGACCGACCCAGAACAATGGTTGGAGATCCCTGGTCTAAAATAATGTGGTGTATATTCGCTTTGTGTATTTTGACTTATTTTTGTATTATTTTGAAGGACTGACTGGTGATTTGACAGGCTAGGATGCCTCTGTGTTTGCTCGTCAGCAGGAGCATGGTGTGTACATGATTATTGTAATTAAAACTGGAAAATAAATACAGTATTAAGAATGTATGCAGTGTCTGCTGTTTATTCTCACTGAACACTCAAAAGTATAGATGTAGCCAAACTTTACTTCAGTGCACTACTTTGATACCGTTTGCACACAGTTACAGCATCCGGGAGCCGAGGCTACGTTATTATATGCACACTTTCATGGTTTATCTAACTTGCAAAGAGTTTGACACAGTTTCGCAGGCTATTGTACAATCCATTCGGCTGCTTCTGACCATCAATCATCTTTACAATCTCATATGGTACCTGCACTCACATTCGTCACACTCGTCAGGGACTCCTTCGTCCTTGAATCCAAAATTGAGTCTGCGCTTCTTAACATTTTAATTATGGGGAAGCTGGTGTAGTAACTTGGGTCCAAATACTGCTAGATTCATTTCGAGAATAAATAATTAATGTATACTCAAGTAGGCCTGATGTTTTTAAATGTTTATAGTTGAAACGTATTGAGTAATTTAGTTAGCTGAAACTGCAACATTCAAAGTGAGCCAGGCCAACTTCATTTAACAATTTTTCATCATCCCAATATCAATTTTTGTGAAAACGGCGCGTTTCTATGTTTTGTAGTAAAAAATATGCACGCCAGATGATATCATCAAAAACACTTTTGCATCATGTGATTTTAACCAACTATGAGCAGGCAAAGGTTAGTAAAGTACCAGATAATGTAAAAAAATAAAAAATAATCGGGATGCCTTATAACAATAATAATTTGCCATTTAGCAGACGCTTTTATCCAAAGCGACTTACAGTCATGTGCGCATACATTTTTACGTATGGGTGGTCCCGGGGAACGAACCCACTTCCCTGGCGTTACAAGCGCCATGCTCTACCAATTGAGCTACAGAGGACCACATGCCTTCAGAAAGTAAATACTTAAATGTAAAATGTAAATGTATTCACACCGCTTGACATTTTCCAAATTTTGTTGTGTTACAGCCTGAATTTAAAATGGATTCAATTGAGATTTGTTTTACACTGGCCTACACACAATACCCCATAATGTCAAAGAGGAATTATGTTTTCATTTTTTCCCCAAATTAATTCAAAATGAAAAGCTGAAATGTCTTGAGTCAATAAGTAGTCAACCCCTTTTATGGCAAGCCTAAATAAGTTCAGGAGTAAACATTTGCTTAACAAGTCATATACAGCGCATTCGGAAAGTATTCAGACCCCTTCCCTTTTCCCACATTTTGTTACATTACAGCCTTATTCTAAAATTGATTAAATAAAATGTTTTCCTCATCAACCTACACACAATACCCCATAATGACAAAGCGAAAACAGGTTTTTAGAAATTGTTGCAAATGTATTAAAAATCTAAAACAGAAATACCTTATTTACATAAGTATTCAGACCCTTTGCTATGAGATTCGAAATTGAGCTCAGGTGCATCCTGTTATCATTGATCATTCTTGAGATGTTTCTACAACTTCATTGGAGTCCACTTGTGGTAAATTCAATTGATTGGGTATGATTTGGAAAGGTACACACCAGTCTATTTAAGGTCCCACCGTTGGCAGCGCATGTCATAACAAAACCCAAGCCATGAGGTCGAAGGAGTTGTCAGTAGAGCTCCGAGACAGGATTTTGTCGAGGCGCAGATCAGGGGAAGGGTACCAAAAAATGTCTGCAGCATTGAAGGTCCCCAAGAACACAGTGGCCTCCATCATTCATAAATGGAAGAAGTTTGGAACCACCAAGACTCTTCCTAGAGCTGGCCGCCTGGCCAAACTGAGCAATCGGGGGAGAAGGGCGTTGGTCAGGGAGGTGACCAAGAACCCGATGGTCACTCTGACAGAGCTCCAGAGTTCCTCTGTGGAGATGGGAAAACCTTCCAGAAGGACAACCATCTCTGCAGCACTCCACCATTCAGGCCTTTATGGTAGAGTGGCCAGACAGAAGCCACTCCTCAGTAAAAGGCACATGACAGCCCGGTTGGAGTTTGCCAAAAGGCACCTAAAGACTCTCAGACCATGAGAAACAAGATTCTCTTGTCTGATGAAACCAAGATTGAACTCTTTGGCCTGTATGCCAAGCATCACATCTGGAGGAAACCTGGCACCATCCCTACGGTGAAGCATGGTGGTGGCAGCATCATGCTGTGGGGATGTTTTTCTGCGGCAAGGACTGGGAGACTAGTCAGGATCGAGGCAAAGATGAACGGAGCAAAGTACAGAGAGATACTTAATGAAAACTTGCTCCAGAGCGCTCAGGACCTTAGTCTGGGGTGAAGTTTCACCTTCCAACAGGACAACGACCCTAAGCACACAGCCAAGACAATGCTGAAGTGGCTTCGGGACAAGTCTCTGAATGTCCTTGAGTGGCCCAGAGCCCAGACTTGAACCCGATCGAACATCTCTGGAGAGACCTGAAAATAGCTGTGCAGCAACGCTCCCCATCCAACCTGACAGAGCTTGAGAGGATCTGCAGAGAAGAATGGGAGAAACTCCCCAAATACAGGTGTGCCAAGCTTGCAGCGCCATACCCGAGAAGACTCGAGGTTGTAATCGCTGCCAAAGGTGCTTCAACAAAGTACTGAGTAATGGGTCTGAATACTTATGTAAATGTGATATTTCAGTTGTTACTTTTAATACATTAGCCAACATTTCTAAAAACCTGTTTTTGCTTTGTCATTAAGGGGTAATGTGTGTAGATTGATGAGGGGAAAAAAACAATTTAATACATTTTAGAATAAGGCTGTAACCTAA